ACTGGTGGAGGCTGTGAACGCCTGTCACCAGGTGGGGATTGCACACCGAGATCTTAAGCTGGAAAATGTCCTTTTGGACCTGGACGGCAATGTCAAGCTGTCTGACTTTGGCCTTTGCACGCGCCAAGAGCAAAGAGAGTCCAGTAATACCTTCTGTGGAACAGTAACTTACTCCTCCCCCGAGGTTCTAACGGGAGAGGAGTATGATGCATTCAAGCTAGACATCTGGAGTTTGGGGGTCATCCTCTATTCTCTGGTGTGTGGCTCCTTCCCCTTTGACGACTTCAGCATCAGCCAGATGGTTCAGCTGCAGAAAGATCACATCCTTCCATTTCCCGAGCCCATCAGCTCAGAGTGCAAGGATCTTATCCTGCAAATGTGCCAGCCAGATGTTGCTGGAAGGCCCTCGATCCGACAGGTTCGGAACTCTAGCTGGCTTTGCCAGTGAAATCTAAAAGCCTAAAAAGCTAATAATATCAATAATAACACATCACACATTGTGACTTTTGACCTTTGATTGTCAAGAATCACAATCACAACATCGACCTTTTCCTTCATCTCATTACAAAGTTGACCTTTGACCTTTGATTGTCAAGAATCACAATCACATCATAGTTAAAATGTTGACCTTTGACCTTTGTTTGTCAAGAATCACAATCTCATCCTCTTCAATTACAAATTTGACCTTTGACCTCTGATTGTCAAGAATCACGAATGACATCGACCCTTTGCATCATCTCCAATTACAAAGTTGACAACATCGACCCTCTCCATCATGTCCAGTTACAAAGTTGACCTTTGACCTTTGATTGTCAAGAATCACAATCACATCATATAGTTAAAGTTTTGACCTTTGACCTTTGTTTGTCAAGAATCACAATCTCATCCTCTTCAATTACAAATTTGACCTTTGACCTCTGATTGTCAAGAATCTCGAATGACATTGACCCTTTCCATCATTACCAATTACAGTTGACATCGACCCTCTCTATCATGTCCAGTTACAAAGTTGACCTTTGACCTTTGATTGTCAAGAATCACAATCACATCATATAGTTAAAATTTTGACCTTTGACCTTTGTTTGTCAAGAATCACAATCTCATCCTCTTCAATTACAAATTTGACCTTTGACCTCTGATTGTCAAGAATCACGAATGACATCGACCCTTTGCATCATCTCCAATTACAAAGTTGACATCGACCCTCTCCATCATGTCCAGTTACAAAGTTGACCTTTGACCTCTGATTGTCAAGAATCACAATCGTAATATCGACCCTTTCACTTCTCGAATTACAAATTTGACCTTTGACCTTTGATTGTCTTCACAACGTCGACCTTTCTATTTTCCAATCACAAAGTTGACCTTTGACCTTTGATTGTTTGCAAGTTGAAACATCAACAATAGCACTTCCATGACCTTTGGCCTTTCCATTTCCTGTCATTTGCCCCCTTGACCTTTAGAGCACTTGACCTTGAGTCACCTGATGACCGTGGCTTTGACCTTTGGGTCCCAATTTGTCTTGTTTGACCTTTATGTGCCCTGACCCCAAGAGGTCACATCATCCGGGTATAAAAGGAAGAGATCTTCCATTTCCATCATTTCATTTCAATATCATTCATCTATCATGTCATCTATTAAGAACGTTTTGCGTTCGATTGGTTACCAAGTTAAATCCCTCTTAGGAGAGGGAAGCTTTGGTACAGTTTTGCTCTGTGAAAACATGGTTGACCTTTCGGAGGTTGCCATAAAAATCACAGAAAAAGTTCAGAGCTATGTCTCAAATGAGACGTTTGCTCTGAAGACTGTGAAACATCCCAACATTGTGGACATCTACGCAGTGTTGGAGACTGATAAGCACGCTTTTACTGTGATGGAGCTGGCCGAGGGGGGAAACCTCCTGGACCTGCTTGCACAGGAAAGCTTTAGCTTGTCTGAGGAGAGAGTCAAGGTGATCTTTTCCCAACTGGTGGAGGCTGTGAACGCCTGTCACCAGGTGGGGATTGCACACCGAGATCTTAAGCTGGAAAATGTCCTTTTGGACCTGGACGGCAATGTCAAGCTGTCTGACTTTGGCCTTTGCACGCGCCAAGAGCAAAGAGAGTCCAGTAATACCTTCTGTGGAACAGTAACTTACTCCTCCCCCGAGGTTCTAACCGGAGAGGAGTATGATGCATTCAAGCTAGACATCTGGAGTTTGGGGGTCATCCTCTATTCTCTGGTGTGTGGCTCCTTCCCCTTTGACGACTTCAGCATCAGCCAGATGGTTCAGCTGCAGAAAGATCACATCCTTCCATTTCCCGAGCCCATCAGCTCAGAGTGCAAGGATCTTATCCTGCAAATGTGCCAGCCAGATGTTGCTGGAAGGCCCTCGATCCGACAGGTTCGGAACTCTAGCTGGCTTTGCCAGTGAAATCTAAAAGCCTAAAAAGCTAATAATATCAATAATAACACATCACACCCTATTAGACAATCAGACTTAAACTTTTGACCTTTGATTGTCAAGAATCACAATCACAACATCGACCTTTTCCTTCATCTCATTACAAAGTTGACCTTTGACCTTTGATTGTCAAGAATCACAATCACATCATAGTTAAAATGTTGACCTTTGACCTTTGTTTGTCAAGAATCACAATCTCATCCTCTTCAATTACAAATTTGACCTTTGACCTCTGATTGTCAAGAATCACGAATGACATCGACCCTTTGCATCATCTCCAATTACAAAGTTGACAACATCGACCCTCTCCATCATGTCCAGTTACAAAGTTGACCTTTGACCTTTGATTGTCAAGAATCACAATCACATCATATAGTTAAAGTTTTGACCTTTGACCTTTGTTTGTCAAGAATCACAATCTCATCCTCTTCAATTACAAATTTGACCTTTGACCTCTGATTGTCAAGAATCTCGAATGACATTGACCCTTTCCATCATTACCAATTACAGTTGACATCGACCCTCTCTATCATGTCCAGTTACAAAGTTGACCTTTGACCTTTGATTGTCAAGAATCACAATCACATCATATAGTTAAAATTTTGACCTTTGACCTTTGTTTGTCAAGAATCACAATCTCATCCTCTTCAATTACAAATTTGACCTTTGACCTCTGATTGTCAAGAATCACGAATGACATCGACCCTTTGCATCATCTCCAATTACAAAGTTGACATCGACCCTCTCCATCATGTCCAGTTACAAAGTTGACCTTTGACCTCTGATTGTCAAGAATCACAATCGTAATATCGACCCTTTCACTTCTCGAATTACAAATTTGACCTTTGACCTTTGATTGTCTTCACAACGTCGACCTTTCTATTTTCCAATCACAAAGTTGACCTTTGACCTTTGATTGTTTGCAAGTTGAAACATCAACAATAGCACTTCCATGACCTTTGGCCTTTCCATTTCCTGTCATTTGCCCCCTTGACCTTTAGAGCACTTGACCTTGAGTCACCTGATGACCGTGGCTTTGACCTTTGGGTCCCAATTTGTCTTGTTTGACCTTTATGTGCCCTGACCCCAAGAGGTCACATCATCCGGGTATAAAAGGAAGAGATCTTCCATTTCCATCATTTCATTTCAATATCATTCATCTATCATGTCATCTATTAAGAACGTTTTGCGTTCGATTGGTTACCAAGTTAAATCCCTCTTAGGAGAGGGAAGCTTTGGTACAGTTTTGCTCTGTGAAAACATGGTTGACCTTTCGGAGGTTGCCATAAAAATCACAGAAAAAGTTCAGAGCTATGTCTCAAATGAGACGTTTGCTCTGAAGACTGTGAAACATCCCAACATTGTGGACATCTACGCAGTGTTGGAGACTGATAAGCACGCTTTTACTGTGATGGAGCTGGCCGAGGGGGGAAACCTCCTGGACCTGCTTGCACAGGAAAGCTTTAGCTTGTCTGAGGAGAGAGTCAAGGTGATCTTTTCCCAACTGGTGGAGGCTGTGAACGCCTGTCACCAGGTGGGGATTGCACACCGAGATCTTAAGCTGGAAAATGTCCTTTTGGACCTGGACGGCAATGTCAAGCTGTCTGACTTTGGCCTTTGCACGCGCCAAGAGCAAAGAGAGTCCAGTAATACCTTCTGTGGAACAGTAACTTACTCCTCCCCCGAGGTTCTAACCGGAGAGGAGTATGATGCATTCAAGCTAGACATCTGGAGTTTGGGGGTCATCCTCTATTCTCTGGTGTGTGGCTCCTTCCCCTTTGACGACTTCAGCATCAGCCAGATGGTTCAGCTGCAGAAAGATCACATCCTTCCATTTCCCGAGCCCATCAGCTCAGAGTGCAAGGATCTTATCCTGCAAATGTGCCAGCCAGATGTTGCTGGAAGGCCCTCGATCCGACAGGTTCGGAACTCTAGCTGGCTTTGCCAGTGAAATCTAAAAGCCTAAAAAGCTAATAATATCAATAATAACACATCACACCCTATTAGACAATCAGACTTAAACTTTTGACCTTTGATTGTCAAGAATCACAATCACAACATCGACCTTTTCCTTCATCTCATTACAAAGTTGACCTTTGACCTTTGATTGTCAAGAATCACAATCACATCATATAGTTAAAGTTTTGACCTTTGACCTTTGTTTGTCAAGAATCACAATCTCATCCTCTTCAATTACAAATTTGACCTTTGACCTCTGATTGTCAAGAATCACGAATGACATCGACCCTTTGCATCATCTCCAATTACAAAGTTGACATCGACCCTCTCCATCATGTCCAGTTACAAAGTTGACCTTTGACCTTTGATTGTCAAGAATCACAATCACATCATATAGTTAAAGTTTTGACCTTTGACCTTTGTTTGTCAAGAATCACAATCGCATCCTCTTCAATTACAAATTAAAACTTTGACCTCTGATTGTCAAGAATCACAATCGTAATATCGACCCTTTCACTTCTCGAATTACAAAGTTGACCTTTGACCTTTGATTGTTTGCAAGTTGAAACATCAACAATAGCACTTCCATGACCTTTGGCCTTTCCATTTCCTGTCATTTGCCCCCTTGACCTTTAGAGCACTTGACCTTCAGTCACCTGATGACCGTGGCTTTGACCTTTGGGTCCCAATTTGTCTTGTTTGACCTTTATGTGCCCTGACCCCAAGAGGTCACATCGTCCGGGTATAAAAGGAAGAGATCTTCCATTTCCATCATTTCATTTCAATATCATTCATCTATCATGTCATCTATTAAGAACGTTTTGCGTTCGATTGGTTACCAAGTTAAATCCCTCTTAGGAGAGGGAAGCTTTGGTACGGTTTTGCTCTGTGAAAACATGGTTGACCTTTCGGAGGTTGCCATAAAAATCACAGAAAAAGTTCAGAGCTATGTCTCAAATGAGACGTTTGCTCTGAAGACTGTGAAACATCCCAACATTGTGGACATCTACGCAGTGTTGGAGACTGATAAGCACGCTTTTACTGTGATGGAGCTGGCCGAGGGGGGAAACCTCCTGGGCCTGCTTGCACAGGAAAGCTTTAGCTTGTCTGAGGAGAGAGTCAAGGTGATCTTTTCCCAACTGGTGGAGGCTGTGAACGCCTGTCACCAGGTGGGGATTGCACACCGAGATCTTAAGCTGGAAAATGTCCTTTTGGACCTGGACGGCAATGTCAAGCTGTCTGACTTTGGCCTTTGCACGCGCCAAGAGCAAAGAGAGTCCAGTAATACCTTCTGTGGAACAGTAACTTACTCCTCCCCCGAGGTTCTAACCGGAGAGGAGTATGATGCATTCAAGCTAGACATCTGGAGTTTGGGGGTCATCCTCTATTCTCTGGTGTGTGGCTCCTTCCCCTTTGACGACTTCAGCATCAGCCAGATGGTTCAGCTGCAGAAAGATCACATCCTTCCATTTCCCGAGCCCATCAGCTCAGAGTGCAAGGATCTTATCCTGCAAATGTGCCAGCCAGATGTTGCTGGAAGGCCCTCGATCCGACAGGTTCGGAACTCTAGCTGGCTTTGCCAGTGAAATCTAAAAGCCTAAAAAGCTAATAATATCAATAATAACACATCACACCTTATTAGACAATCAGACTTAAACTTTTGACCTTTGATTGTCAAGAATCACAATCACATCGACCTTTTCCTTCATCTCCATTACAAAGTTGACCTTTGACCTTTGATTGTCAAGAATCACACACATCATAGTTAAAATGTTGACCTTTGACCTTTGTTTGTCAAGAATCACAATCTCATCCTCTTCCATTACAAATTTGACCTTTGACCTCTGATTGTCAAGAATCACGAATGACATCGACCTGTGTGTCAAGAGTCGCGAATGACATCGATCCTTTCCATCATGTCATTACAAGGTTGACCTTTGACCTTTGTCAAGAATCTCAATTACAAATTTGACCTTTGACCTCTGATTGTCAAGAATCACAATCGTAATATTAACCTTCACTTCTCGAATTACAGAGTTGACCTTTGACCTTTTAATTGTGATACAACATCGACCTTTCTATTTATCAATTACAAAGCTGACCTTTGACATTTCCCTTTGACCGATTGCACTGTAGAGTTGCGTCGCTTAGCTGGGGTGTTTTTTTCATAAAAAGAGAGCTAAGAGTTTTCCACGGATTTCTGCGCGAAATGTAATGGATTTATTTATGGCCCTATTTAGGAGTTTTACGGGACTCTCGCAACGTCAGCGCGTGGGGGAACATGGCATTCATCAGAAATGTGCAGGTCTCTTGCACAATGTTTTAGATAGAACAAACTACTAGTATCTTAGTAACATTGTGTAAGAGACCTGCAAGTTAGTCGATATCAAGCAGACACAAACAACAAGTTTTCACCCATGCTGCATTGGCCAGAGTGAGAGGATGATGTCAACAATCTTGTAACGGGATGACGAATGACCGCACCCAAGAGCGAGAGAGATGATGCAATCAGTATTTGGAAGAAAATGTACAGTTGATCGACATTGAAGATTGTGAAAATAAGCGGGAATATCCACCTGTGCATAAAATGTCCGACTTGTCCGACATTGTAGAGGTCGGATTCTATTTAAGAGTCGTCGATATTAAAATACAGGTACATAGTTTTAAAGCTTGTACATTTTATCATCATCTTCAAAGAGGCTGTAAATAAAAGATACACTCCTCAAAAAATGAAAAGCACCGGTAGTATAGAGTTCATTGAACCTGACTACAAAAGAAGTCCGGTATATAAATTAGATGTTTGTTATTGTTGGTGGCCTGATATTCGACAAACGTAGCAAAACGGAGTACATTTTGTAGTAAATTGGGATTGTAATTCACTGTAGAAGGCGTTTCCCTTCGCAGCTATGTAATCTGTAATCCATTGTTGAAGGCGTTTCCCTTCACAGCTATGTAATCTGTAATCTACTGTTGAAGGCGTTTCCCTTCGCAGCTATGTAATCTGTAATCTACTGTTGAAGGCGTTACCCTTCGCAGCTATGTAATCTGTAATCTACTGTTGAAGGCGTTTCCCTTCACAGCTATGTCATCTGTAATCTACTGTTAAAGGCGTTTCCCTTCGCAGCTATCTGTAATCTACTGTTGAAGGCGTTTCCCTTCGCAGCTATCTGTAATCTACTGTTGAAGGCATTTTCCCTTCCCAGCTATGTAATCTGTAATCTACTGTTGAAGTTGAAGGTGAGTGAGTGAGTATGGTTTTACGCCGTTTTTAGCAATATTCCAGCAATATCATGGCGGGGGAAACCACTACACTACATGCTGAACTGGTGCCTTTTGCTATTTGGAAATTTTAGAAAATTTTATTTTTTACGTTTCCATGGCAACAAGATGGACTTAGGTTCTGTGAGGGTAGGGTTCGATTCCGGAGCATAACTCATAAATCTTTCAATATTTTTTCATCAAACTTTGCAGGTCTGTCAGGCACATGCTGAACTGGTGCCTTTTGTTAAATGTTCAGTAAATGTATAGAAAAGTCTGTCTTTAGTAAGCTTAATGTGATCCTGCAGAGAAGTGTACCAAATCAAAGCAATACCTTGCAAGTTCAGCATCATTGCCGGTCCAATCTGATCGTCTACAAATCTTAGCACGCCAGACCAAGCCTTAAATTGTTCCAACTACATACGGCCGTCCTCCGTGGGCAATCAACCGGTGAAGATCCGGGGTAGAATAGATCTTCAGCAACCCATGCTTGCCCTAAAAGGCGACTATGCTTGTCGTAAAAGGCGACTAACGGGATCGGGTGGTCAGGCTCGCTGCCTTGGTTGATGCATGTCATCGATCCCAATTGCGTGGATCGATGCTCGTGATATTAATCACTGGATTGTCTGGTCAAGACTCGATTATTTACAGACCGCTGTCATATAGCTGGAATATTGCGGAGTGCGGTGTTAAACAACAAACCAACCAACCAACTGTGGGCAATCCAAAGAATGGCTCCAATATCAGATTGGAGGAAGCCATGTTCACCGTTTTTACATCTCCACCATATTTTGCGTTGTGGGACCTGTCTTCTACATCTTGTAATTATTCTAGCTACCACAGACAACTAGACGCCGTTCTTTTGCCGCCATATTTTATTCTCTTCCACCTTCACCTCTGCCCAAGGGCAGATAATCCCAAACGTCATTTCATTTCAAACCGCCAGAAAATAAAGATAACATGCATTTCCTTATGTGGAATTTACATTCAAATGTACTACAAAATGTACTCCGTTTTGCTACGCTACATCCGCTTCCAAAAGTAGGAGAGATATGAAAATCGGTTTTGGAAGTAAAGACGAAGGTGTCACGCGTAAGGAAGGAGCTTGGACATTCTGAGTATGAAGGGAGATAACTCTGTCAACCTTACTACTTCAAAGTCGTAGGCTCTGTGAAGCGTAACGATTTTTAATTCATTTGATGCCACACTGCCTTGTCAGCTCTTTCTGTGATCATCCAGGCGTATCTGATAACACACTGACACAACAACAATGTCATCTGCGGTAGTCAGCCGCTTTATAGCACCGTGCAAACACAACCCATATTGCGCCAATCTCCGCGAGGGTCCAGAGCGAGCTAATGGGATTTGAGTGTATTTGTCTTTATGTCTGCATGACGTATGCTCTATGCCGTATGCGACCCTCATTGACAACCAGCAATCAATTTGTTCGTATTTTAAAAAATGTTTTTGAGCATCTGATATATTTTGAGGTGCTGTAATTTTATTCTTAATGAATAAATGTTTACGAAAATCCATTGTTATAAGGACTTTAACAAACACTACGATTTAATGTTTGACTGTTTAATTGTCTATGACAACACCGACTACACGACGAAGTACATTGATAGGGAGCGGGTTGATATTATAGTTTGGTGTCTGATATCTCTTGAGTAAAATAGAAACTTTGAAACTAAGGTTCCTGACGTAAATGGTTAATGAAATAGACATTTTAACGACTAATATTTCTTTTCATAAGAATGTCTATTTCTGGTGTCCCATGCGGTAATATTGCTAAAATACTGCTAAAAGCGGCGTAAAACCCAACTCACTCGTAAGGATGTCTTTTTTTTTTATCTCGGATCAATGCACTTCAATAATTAGGTTTTACGGTATTCTATGTGCACTTTAGATAGTTTCAAACATGTATAGTATCCCAATTCGATACGGTACTTGGTGTTACTTATACGAGTATACAATAATGAAAACACAACGTGCCAAACATGAAATTTGTTAGTACCTAATATATTAATATATAAATGTGTGTTGTTAGGCTGGATATAATTTGATCGGTTTTGAGGTTTCACTGAAAACTATCTTCAATCTTGACCGATAAGAATGTCACATCCTGGAGACAACGCATCAATTAAACCCCCTCATGACATCAAAGTGTACTCATTGGTCGAAATACCAGTTGTTCATAAGAATCCTGCTTATCACAATCCTGCTTGCAGTAGATGTATTTCACTTCAATGTCATCAAACGCACGTTTTGGTGTGGGAAATGGATATCAAATCTTTCGTATGATCCACCCGACTGTTTTTCGTTTCAACAGAAATTAAATGTTCATTTCAACATCGGATCAAGGGAATCACTTTCATTATGATCTAACAGTGCACGGATTAATGCAGTGGCCCCACAGTAGAAATGGACTCGCCTTCATTAATGTATCAGCTATTCTTGGAGATTATGGTCTTTAACTCGATTATGCACTTTAATAAACATGTTACTGCAAGTGTTTTAAAGTCGATTAAAATCTCGTAATAATTTTTCAGGTCACTCTGCTGGTGCCATTCAATTACTATGAAAGCAGAAATCGATACACCCTACGCCACATGCGGTTTCGTCTGACGGCCGAGCAATCCCAATGTGGTCCAGACAGCATTGCTTGTCGTCACGACGATAGTACCTCTCCAAAGTTTATGTCAATAATGGCGACTTCCCCACTCACGCTGTTGCTGAGGCGAAATATAGGAAAACATTTCGTACGGAAAAAAGTGCGACCTTTACTAAGCAACTTCAGGGTAAGGACAATATGTTTTATTTGATGCAAAATGCAACTTGTATCCACTGTCAGTGCGTTTCATGTGAAGTTTGGTTCGCTGTCCGGCGACTGTTTCGCTGGATCAAGCTGCTTCTTGCCAACCGATATTCGGCAACTGTCAATGACTTGAGTTCGCGTGAAGTATTGTGACATTTGTTGCAATATCTACGTGTATGTGAGCGTTCCCTCTAAGATATTTTCAAATACTGCTGTCCCGTACATGCAATGCAGTTTTGTCAAAATGGGCGGTGTCAAATCCTCTGCTTCAGCACATAAATGGAATGTACTTGAACTTACCTGTGCATTCCTGGATCATATAAAAGTATCACCATCGGTTAGATATAGTGCACTACCTACTACTTTGTTATTTAATACACTGTTGCAAATTTGTAATAATTTCAATGAGACATATTCATGTATTATTTCAAATTTTGCCTCAATGTATATAGCAATGTATAAACTGATATTTGGAAAAAAAACTGAACAGTTCATGTCACATGAATGTTTTCTCTGTTAAACTATTAAATAAGCATTATAATAGTCTGTGACCTCAGCCACTATTCTGAAGCCCAATGTTTATAAAATTTGGACTTGTTCGGATGTGTATGCTCTGCTAATAATAGTCCATAATAAAACTACAATCTACTGAAAATGATTCTTGCAAAGAGCCAAGTTGGGGCTGTGATAAGTTCTAAGTTCATTGTTCATTGAAGACCGTTCGCCAAATGATTCAATTATAGATAAGGCTCCATTCAGGAGATACGCTACTCATTTGACAATATATATATTATGGCCCCACATGACTGGATCACTCCGTTTAATCTCCAGATGCCGGTTTTCTTAGAATATAGAATAGATATAATGAATATAATGCATGTCATCGTATCCCAATTGTGTGGATTGATCATGTTGATGCTCATGATGTCAATTACTGGATTGTCTGGTCCAGACACGATTATTTACAGACCGCCATCATATAGCTGGAATATTGCTGAGTGCGGCGTTAAACAACAAACAAACAAAACTGTTCATTGACGTTTAAGCTGCCTTTAGAATGTTTAGTGCACTGTATTCAGGACGTCTCTATTTAACATTGCACTAGAAATGAATTGACAAGAAATTCTAAGAAAGAAAGTACATATTAATGTTTTTTGTGAGGGGGTTTCAATACATTTGCAGAAAATATTGGTGTGAAGAGAAAAAGGTCACAGTGTGAAGGTTCTGTAAGGACTGTGACTGGTAGTATGGGAGTTAGCTTACACTGATGTCAACCATAGAGACGTCAGCCTTCTTGTCATTCATAATCTAAAATCTATATTGGGCTATTGCTTTCTAGCTGGATGTTGATTCTACAGTAGGAGAACAATGTAATATATCATTGAAGCAGTTACTTGACAATCAATACTGGTGACCCAATGAATCAAATGCTTCAAGACCCTCATACATACTTGTGAGCTGCAGTGGAAATGCTGTGTAATACCTGTTTGATGAAAAGGAGCAATGCTTTATATGTCATGTGATAAGGGACCTTTTTGACGCTCTGCTTTTAAGAAACATCTCATGGTGAACTTTTTCATTTGACAAAGAAAGATGTGAGTGAGTCGAATGGACATGTGGATGAGACAGCTTTGATTTGTTACCTCTGTGGCTTCGAAATCCCCATTTGTCCCTTTTATGTTTCTAGGTTTGTCAGCACCATACCCAACTCACTCACCCACAGATAGATTGGTTTTACAATCCTTTAATAATGAGTGACTGCGTGAATGTTGTTTTGTGTCAGAAGTATTGAACTGTACTATCCCATTGACCTGGAGGTCACCATGTCTGGGTCATTCAAACCAGTGCTTACACTTACATACACCATGAGCAATGATCTACACCATTTGGGTACAAAGATGCACCATCTCCAGGTTGCAGTATGTGACCACTTGATTCTGATTAGTAAGCTCTTATCCTGATTCTCCCCCCGGAATGCCCAGGGAAAATATATCAAGGAAGTCAGATGCTGACAATTATTATGATATAGGTGCAGTGGGGAAAATGCTGGATAAGAAAGTAATAAATATCAATTTTATTGGGGTTTTTTAAGTCTTTGAGACTTGATTGAATTTGCTTTTCCTGTATAAAGACAGTTTTATGTACATTTTGGATAACGGAAGATTTCTTTGATAAGAATTTGAAGAAAAACATTTTTATAATGGAAGAAATTGACAAGGCTTCTGGTAATTTATTGCTGAGCATTGTAGCACTCAGATAATTTTAATGGAGTTTCGCCACTTTAGACATGTTATAAACAAGTTATTTTATCAATAATTTTGTTGTTATTTCTATAAAAGATTGGTTCATGTTTTTGACTAAAGTCATACATTGAAAAAGCTATTTATGGCCATTTGTTCAAAATGTTATGAAATTTGGGACACGTGTCGTTAGTAATGGGGCTTAACATGTATGTTCTGTTTATGCGATACTTTTGACCAATCTCAAACTTAACTATGGTAGCAATGTATCTAGGGTATTCATCATAATAGTTTGGGGACATAATACGACCTGCGCCACTATAGTTTATACACTTTCTAGACGTTAAACTACGATATATAACTGGAACACTGTTGGAAGTTGCTCACAACGACACATTTGCCCCAAACCTCGGAGACAAAGGAATTTTAGGCAAAATATTTCAGCACATCCTCGCTCCAGTATTGAACTATGTAACATGTCTAACAAGGGTGATATTCTGTTAATTCCAGTTAATCAATTTTTTAACAGGGTTTTGATTGATTTAACTGTCCATGTGTGAAAACTGTAACATGTCCATTGACTTTATTACCAGCTTGTATATAATGCTGAAGATTATGACTATATCTAATAAATGAAATTTCAATGCAGACAAGAGGATGTTTTGTATTCGATCAGCTGTTGCCAGGTTATTCCTACAAAAGCTTCATTGCATAACGTGTTACCTTGATATCAATACTGATGAGGTGTGTTCGTGTGTGCTGTTTAACGCCACACTCAGCAATATTCCAGCTATATGAGGGCGGTCTGTAAATATCTAAGGACCATACAAAACAGTGATTAACATTATGAGCATCGATCCATGCAGTTGGGAAACGATGACATGAAATTGACCAAGTTGCAAGACCTGAGTCCATTTAGTCCCCTCTTCAACAAGCCGTAGGTTACTGGGGACCTTTATTCTTACCCAGAAACCCAATGGGTTTAATGCTGATGAGGATTGCAGTCTCTTATGTTATTACTTCATAAATGAATTTTATTTTACGGGCACCAATTTGGTGTCGTACCACGTAAACACAAAATGGTGACTTGTGCTGGAGTTACGCACGCGACCAATCATTGTAAAAAACAACAATGCAAGATCAACATATTTTTATTGCAAATATAAGGTTTGTGTGCCCACTTGTGATGTTCTTCATTCCAGGTCGCTTTATACACGGAGTATAGGGTTTTGGGTCGATTTTGAAGGCGTGTACAGGGGGGTCGCCTTATACGCAGCGATATACGTTAAGACACACGTGCGAGTCAATGGCATAGAGCCGTAACCCCAACACGTGACCTTCTATTCAATATTCCTCTACATCCAGCTGACATACTGATTCCATCTTACCATGCTTACTTTTGATTTCTACACCGGACATTTCATGCTATCATCATGTTCATCTGAAAGATTTAAAGACTTTACTGTTTTAAGGTCAGCAATGTAAAATCCTGGGAGCCAGTCATAGTGTTGAGGATGAATTATTCAGATCTTTCCCATGCTACAACATTAGCTGATCACAGCAGAACCCAGACGGGAGGCTATCTCATGGTGCTAGGCAGAGCTTGTTGGGTTGGTGGGATCAGCCTGGATTGGCCTCCAACCAAGCACCCGAGCATCAGTGCTTTGCAATACTTGGTACTAATGTGCCATTATCACTTTACAGTACGATGCCATTTATTCCTGCACAGGGTTAGACACGTCAACTAGTCCGTTGGTCTGAGACAAGTGAAAATCCAGAGGAACTGTATTTTCCACCAAAATGTAATATTTCTTCTGTAAACCACTAGTCCACAATGAGCTCCGGATTAGTTGATATTACCAAAGGTGTCTACCCCTGATAATACCCACAATAATCTGGACAGAAAACACATTTCTGTGATATTTTTGTGAAATAATACTCATTTCTTGTGGAATGGGGTTATCTACTTGATGTTCTTTGCGCTTGGCTGAATGATGAATATGGTGACCTATCAAAAATGGGTCAGATTGGTTTGAGTGAGTGGTTGCTGCTAATTTTGCCCCCAGGGTTTGGCCATGAGTTGTCCCGTGTTATCTGTTAGACACAAGTTTGTGAGATCGATTCATGTTGAGTCACTGGGCTCTACTGTACAACCAACGGTGTTTGCATTTTTTGTTTACCTGAACCAAAGGTTTATGATGCTGAGATTTTGCATTGATGGTTCAAGCAATGGTGTCTCTGGGTATGTTTAAAGAATTTGGATCTGGCTGAAAGGAAATGTGACTGAATACAGTGCCTCAGGGAGTGGATGGGTAGTGGTGTCCGAGATGAATACAGTGCCACAGATTTGGGGTGGGTAGTGGTGTCCGAAGTTGACTAGTGTGTCACAGATTGGGGTAGTGGTGTCCAAAGTTGAATATAGTGGCACAGATTTGGGGTTGTTGTGTCTGAGTTGAATACAGTGCCACAAATTTGGGGTGGGTAGTTGTGTCCAAAGTTGAATAGAGGATCACAGATAGAGTTTCACAGATTGGGGTAGTGGTGTCCGAAGTTGAATAGAGTGCCATGTTGTGATGTTACAACTAATATGAATTATGAACTTGTTTGACTTGTGTCTATCCATTTCAAAGAGTTTGGGATTCAGAAAAATTGGTTCAGTTGTAGGCAATAGCTTCCACAAGTGCTAGATAGCTGCAGGGGTTTTGAGTGCCAATGCAAGGCTTATTGGATACTTGAGACAAGATATTCCACAAACCATGGGGGAGAAAACAGGTGAAGAACTGACTGACAACAAACCACTGACTGACAACAAACCAATCAAGCACCAACACAAACACCTCTACAAAACACGTGTTATACACACTACACATAATGAGTCTGTTTTAGCACCAGGAACGTTTCACCTACATACTACCAGCATGCCATTCTTACATGACGTGCTTAACCTGAACCTCCCCTAGCCTCAGCATAGAGCATGATAGAGATGGGATATGACAGGTATAAGCCCTGTTGCTAATATCTGGAGATAGCTGCCTGATGATGATGTATTTTTGTCTGTGTTTCAGGAAAGCAGCCAAATAGGAGACCATAGCTGCCCCTGTTACTTCTACTGTACCCAAGTGTTATTCAGGAATGGTAAGTGTCACTGCTTCAGCTATCTTGTGTCCCTGCTCATGGCAACAGTCGCTGCAACATGTGGCTGTTGTATAACACTCATACCAGGCCTGCTGACAATGTTCAACAAGGAAGGGAAAACTTGCTTCTGTTTTTGGCGTTATTGGTTTTGAAACATTCCCTTATGAAATTCAGTCACTTATTTATTCCTTATCAGGCATGCTTACAATCGGAGATGTTCAACAAAGAGGGTAAAACTTGCATCTATTTTAGGGGGTGATGGGTTTTGAAACATTCCGTAATGAAATTCAGTCACCTATTTATTCCTTCAGGACTGAACCTTGATCATTGCGATCACTTGTCAGAATATATAAGTGGTTTCTTACAACAAGAATTCACATGGTACCGAGTGGGAAATTAGGAAGAGCAGCTGCACAAAGGTTTTCTGTATAATGTGACATATACGCCTCAGAATGGAGGAGGTGCCCTTTCTCCAAGATTTGGATTTATTTATGACATTGAAGAAAATGAAGAAAAGGATATTGCCAAACATTTACTTCAGGACATTTTGTGGAGTATAATCAGAAAGATTGACAGAGGATGTGTTTGACTTGAGGGACTTTTGATAGCTTTGGACTCTGAAATATGAAACCATTGTTTGCGGCAGCTGCATCAATCAGACTTCTAAAGATTTTCCTGAATGTTTTTCTAGATTAACAGGATCACTGAAGATAATTTTCATAAAACTCCTAAAATGAAAAAATAGGAATTTAATGCTTCCTAATCAGTGATTCTACAATAGAACACGCTCTTTAGGTCTGTGATTATCAACAATGGATGTATACATGATAAGTACACAGTGTCATTGTGTTTGAAGTGAGATCACTGAAGTAGAATTTGACTTTTATCACAGTGGTGAATCGGGATGGCATCATTGCACTTGACTATATAATATGTGTGGTTGGATCATCATCGGCTTAACATGAAGCAGTGATATAATATGGTTATTACATCAGAGCACATATAGCCATTGCAGCCTTGACACAGTGGGATGTAGTCAGTGGCACAGTGTGGAAACAGGCTCAAGAGGTTTATTACATCATACATACAATATGGTTACATATTTATGGGAGCAATATGGTTGTTATACAATGTATACCGTGTGGATACATATGACATCATCAGCACAATATGGGTACAGGATGCCAGGTACAAAAATAATCATTGCAACAGAAATTGATCTCTTTGGCATCCAAGGTGGTTGTTGGTTGGTTGGGGTTTACGGAGATTGGACCTTCCATCTTGTTGGAAGTAAGAAGTAAGAATGTAATTGCAAATATGTATAAGATGTGGTATAGTGTGTATGATAATTATGATAATAATTGGGGACAGTCATGGATGGTTCCAGTCCAGCCCACAGGATATCATTGTATGACAAGCACTGATACTTCAGATGTTTCTACTCGTTTTCATCATAATTGTTGGATGGACAGTTTGTCTCATGAGGAAATGAAGTGCTATCTGCCTCTTTACATCACACGTTGACAAATACATCAATGCAATTATAGTTAATGGGATGGAAAAAACATTTCTGTGTGGGTGTCAGTGCTCTCTCCTTGGACTCGGACACATTATTTTAATTATGTCAGGCATGGGAGCTCTCAATTTTAACAACTGGTTTATTTGTCTTGTTAAATCAGGATACTAACCTCAGTATTGCTGACTGGGCTGACACAAGATTTACTCACTTGCATAAAATGTCAAGCACTGGTTTGACAATTAAAATGTTGTCGACCACAGATAAATATTTAATTTATTGCTAAGAAATTCAAGAACACACTGATTTACTCGTCATGAGCAGCTGATGAGTCATTGATCATATAAGGGGCAGTTGGATAGCACAGTGGTTGGTGTTTCCTAGTTGTGTAGAAGGTATGAGTTCAATTCCCTATACAGAAGTCCTCCTTGGATATCTCCCCTACATTAATTAGAGCAGTATTGCAACATAAATAGGATGCCATGATGCCAATAGTGTCATAATTGTGTCTGTGTCTCTTTGGTCATTTGACAGACAGCTCTTAACTTTTCCTTCAATTGTATAGTGGCATATGGCCTCATCAACACAAGTGTTATTGTCAGACGTGCAAAGATAATGGCACCCATATTCTTCCCTACTCCTGTGAGGTACACTGAAGTAACAGTAGGCACAGTTCAGAAGGTGTATATAATGCGTATTCACCACAGCTTCTTGTAGAACTTAAACCAATTATCATGGGAGTCTGAATAAACAGGATGCCAATTGTTCTGTTTTGTGAATGGCAGTAGAATGAAACATAGAAAATGGGTCTGATAGTTTGACAATTGGTTTGGGGTTTGTGAAGCACCCTGCTGCAATTCAGAACTCCCTTGGGAACTTCAGTGCAATTTACTTGAGTTACGGGCTATTAGGTATGTATTCTTGAGTGAACTACGTGCAGGGGTAATAAGTGACTTTAATTCATGAAGCTATTAGCTCATCTACTGCAGTAACACCAACAAAGGTTATCTTGTATGCTGCCACAGAATTCCACATAGACTTTCTCGACCTTACCCTTGCAGCTCATCTCAATATGCCAGTTATACAGGTGCATGTGTGTAGGTACGTACATGTAGAATAGGATAATATACATCGCTTTGCCCCCCTGAGTATTTGGGGTTAGAATTGGTCACCAGCATCCTATGCTGGTTGAAGAGGTGACCAAATGGATGTGACTTGGTCGATTGCGTGATGGCGTAGATCATTCCTCACAATATCGATCAGTTGATTTTCTGGTGGATTTTTTACAGGGTGATGTCATATAACTGGAATATTGCTCAGTGTGGCGTTAAACAACAAAGTTAAAACATATCCTACTTCAGACAAACTTCTCTTACATATATTAATATATTTTATTTGATCTCAAACTAGTCAGCAATGATGTAACTGGGGACCAGAATCCCTACAGGAGATGATCTCTGTGAATTCGGAAGATGGATTCTGTGTACAACACTTGCAGGTGGTAAAGAATGGATAGGCAAGACTACATCACTGGCTTCTTCAACACAGGGTTATTGATCATTACTACGATTCTCAATAGACTCCTACAGCTTCCTGTTTCCTGACTGACAGTTGCACCATCTGAGGCTAATCTCAGATGTTGGGAAGATGATAAATCTGTATATGCAAGCAAAAGCTGTTGGGTAATGTGTGCATAGTTCCCTGGAGGGGCTTGGAAAGGCAGGTAACAACACATAACTGTTGAAAACTGCGATAGCATGGGTTTGTGTAAATCAGTAGGTTTATGGTAGTGATGTTTGTTGTGTAATGCCACATTCGGCAATATTAAGGCTTTCTTTCCACATCTAGCTGACACTACACAGTATGACTGAAGTACTGTTAAAAGCAACGTAAAGCTGAACTCACTTGGTCAATGGTCAACTGTACAATAACAATGATGGGTTCTTCCATCTGGTTTGTCCTTGTATTGACCTTGATGTGAATATGTTTTGTTTTGTTTTTTGTTTATTGCCATACTCACCTATTTTCCTGCTATATAGCATGATCGAGTAATGAGCATCAATACATGCAATTCTGATACGATGATCTGCATTCTATCAAGTCACCGAGTCTGACCCCCTGAACCATGTAGCTGCCTCTTACGACAAGGTTACAACCAGCCTAGGTCATGTAGGTTGCTCACTGGGGACCTGTGTTCTTACTCTGACCCTCCGAACCATGTAGCTGCCTCTTACGACAAGGTTACGACCAGCCTAGGGTGCTCACTGGGGACCTATGTTTACTCTGACCCCCCTGAACCATGCAGCTGCCTCTTACGACAAGGTTATGACCAGCCTAGGTTGCTCACTGGGGACCTATGTTCTTACTCTGACCCTCCGAACCATGAAGCTGCCTCTTACGACAAGGTTACGACCAGCCTAGGTTGCTCACTGGGGACCTATGTTCTTACTCTGACCCCCCCGAACCATGAAGCTGCCTCTTACGACAAGGTTACGACCAGCCTAGGTTGCTCACTGGGGACCTATGTTTACTCTGACCCCCCCGAAACATGTAGCCGCCTCTTACGACAAGGTTACGACCAGCCTAGGTTGCTCACTGGGGACCTATGTTTACTCTGACCCTCCGAACCATGAAGCTGCCTCTTACGACAAGGTTACGACCAGCCTAGGTTGCTCACTGGGGACCTATGTTTACTCTGACCCTCCGAACCATGTAGCTGCCTCTTACGACAAGGTTACGACCAGCCTAGGTTGCTCACTGGGGACCTATGTTTACTCTGACCCTCCGAACCATGAAGCTGCCTCTTACGACAAGGTTACGACCAGCCTAGGTTGCTCACTGGGGACCTATGTTTACTCTGACCCTCCGAACCATGTAGCTGCCTCTTAGGACAAGGTTACGACCAGCCTAGGTTGCTCACTGGGAACCTATGTTTACTCTGACCCTCCGAACCATGTAGCTGCCTCTTACGACAAGGTTACGACCAGCCTAGGTCATGTAGGTTGCTCACTGGGGACCTGTGTTCTTACTCTGACCCTCCGAACCATGTAGCTGCCTCTTACGACAAGGTTACGACCAGCCTAGGGTGCTCACTGGGGACCTATGTTTACTCTGACCCCCCCGAACCATGCAGCTGCCTCTTACGACAAGGTTATGACCAGCCTAGGTTGCTCACTGGGGACCTATGTTCTTACTCTGACCCTCCGAACCATGAAGCTGCCTCTTACGACAAGGTTACGACCAGCCTAGGTTGCTCACTGGGGACCTATGTTCTTACTCTGACCCCCCCGAACCATGAAGCTGCCTCTTACGACAAGGTTACGACCAGCCTAGGTTGCTCACTGGGGACCTATGTTTACTCTGACCCCCCCGAAACATGTAGCCGCCTCTTACGACAAGGTTACGACCAGCCTAGGTTGCTCACTGGGGACCTATGTTTACTCTGACCCTCCGAACCATGTAGCTGCCTCTTACGACAAGGTTA